GGGAACGGACTCAAGCTGTACCAGGGCAGGTTTAGGCTAGACATTAGGGAAAAAAAAATCCCTTAATATGTTTAAAGGTCACTTAGATGTGGTGCTTGGAGATATGGTTTAGGGGTGTACTTGGTAGAGTAGGGTTGATGGTTGGACTTGATGATCTCAAAGGTCTCTTCCAACCTGAATGATTCTATGATTGTATGATCAGATCAAGAGGAAAAAGGAGACTGGGCAGATCTCTGCTGGGTTTAAGTGGCAGAGTAACTAGAGCAACGTGCTCTAGATGCTGTGTGATTCCTTATTAGCCATGTGTGTCTTCACCTGGGATCTTGCCATGCAAGAGATGCAGAGTGACAAACAGGCAGGGTAATTGTGCTCTTTTTATTATAGGAGGTGAAGGCCAGTTCTTCTGCTGAGCAGAAGGCTTTTTTCCCTGTTAAGTTCATGCTGGTTGTCAGGAAGGAGACTCAGTACCTAAAACTTGATTTTTTTTTTTTTTTTTTTTCTTCCCCTTGAAAGTGTTAATATAAACATCAGCCTAAAGCAGCTAGTTGAGATATGCTGGGTTTGGGGGCAACCAGGTCATTGACGTATAAAAGCTACTGTGTGAATGACACAGTGAGGCTCCTCAAATCCCTCTTATATTTATGCTGATTTTGAAGTGACTTTTAATCCTTCAGATATATTGGTCTCTAAGCACTTTTTTTTCAAAGAGAAAAATAACCCAACTTGAGGAGTTTGGGTAATAATAGTACTTAGTGCTTAATGAATGTTGTGGAATTAATCCTCCTGGAGTTCTAAAATTAAATGAAATTGTGTTGATCTTGGCTGGGGAGCAGGGAAGTGATGTGAAATCAGCTTTCCTCAAGGCATGGAGGAGCAGCTCCCTCACTGTGGCTCCACTGCAGCCAGTGGAGATGGAGTTGGTGAACACGTGACGTTTGAGTTCAAGCTGAGCCCTGCCTTTCAGTTCTCTTCCTCTGTCCTCACAGAGGGGTGCATGTGAGTCAAATGTCCTCCAGGCTTGGTCACACTGGCCAGGGAGCAGTGGAAATTAGGTCTCCTTGGTTCTGGGGAACAACCTCTTTTAGGGTGATGCCTTAGGGCCTGGGAGATGCTTCTGGTTCCCTGTCCTGCTCCCTCCCATGTGCTGTCCCTTGGTTTCAGTGAGATGTCCCACATCGCTGGGCTAGACCTGTTAGTCTGCTGTCCTGTTACGTGGAGAAGTCTTCTGGCCACCCCCTGTTGGTTCAAACAAGACTGAGCAATATAAATAAATCTCCCATTAAGAAAAACAGTTTCAAGTTGGCCGAGTGTCCATGGCCTTTGCTCTGATGTGCAGGTTCCCAGAATCAAATGGAGAGTGCTGAGAGTGGGCACTGACATCTTGTTGGGAGTGTCATCTTGAGGACAATGGGGTAGGGCAGCATTGAGGCTGTGATGGTTAATAATTTTGTGTACCAATTGGAATGCTTTGTGTACCAATTATTGCAGGTTAAAATCGATTGTTTGATTGTTTTTTGTTTGTTTTCAGGTTACAAACTGATTGGAAGCCATTCTGGTGTGAAGCTCTGCCGATGGACAAAGGTATGCTCTCTTTTCTCATTTTATAAATTTAAGAAAAAAACCCCTAGAGACTTATTCACATATTACAATTTCCAAACGAAATGTCCTTTAAAAATGTGATATTACTTGCACAAAAGCAAATTCCGTTTTCTAAGCTGTAGTTTGCATTTCAAGCTATTAAAATCCTGCTGTGAAGAGTGAGAATGCTACCGTGGTGAAAAGCTGGGAACATCATTTGCTGTGTGTTTTCCTGTTATTTTGCTGTCTGCTAAAATATCTCTTGCCTACTGAAATATATGGCAGGAGCTGAACACCGCAGAGAAAAGTGTGAAGGTTACGTCACCAGTGTGAGATCTTCTGAAACAAAGATAACGCAGTCCGTCATTACACTTGAGTGGGCACACAAGGGCATTTGAACCTGTTGTTCTGTGACTGATATATCTGATTTGTGACAGTCAGTGCTCCTCCACTGGTTTTCAGCATTTGTCAAGTAAGATTTAGATAGCAAGGTAGCTGTCACTCGTTAATGCTAGGACTTCTTAAAAGTTACTCTGTGGGAGTGTGTGTATGTCTGTAATTGTGTATAATGTGTCTGTATGTACACATATATATGAAAAAGTCATCCTCCAAGCCCTGCAGTTGTGTATTGTAGGCTATGTAAGCCAGCAGCGTTTCAAGTAGTTTGCAGACTTAAAAATGTTTCCAGCAGAGGCACAGAGCCCTGTAGAACAACCTCCAGCTACTTCAATGTGTCTATCATTTTGGCTGTCCTTTACGGGTCCCTGAGAAGCTCAGGAGTTGAAAGCTGGTCTATAATGTTACACGTTTGGGGAGTAACATTGATATAACACGCTAAAGCCTTCAGCGTTCGTGGGATGGTAAACTATGGGAATCATCACCTGATTAAAATGCCAGCACATCTCTAGTTCTTGTGCTGTGGCAGTGATCAGTTCCTTGGTCTCTCAGCTCTCTTTCTGCTGGATGATTAACTTTGTTTATTTTTGAAAAGAGCTCTTTGAATGGCAGTCACCAAAGTGGGTGGCTGCAGTGAGGTTTTCTTATTGAAATGCCTGGTATCAATGAACTGTTTCATCAAAAGACTTGTTCTGGTGAATGGTTTAAAGAGCCCACTGCTGTATTGTCATCAATATTTGTGAGACGTGCTGATTCCACTGATGCTTCTGCTATTTACTCTTACAAATATTTCTTTCTCCTATAATTTTTAGTGTCAGAGAAGGCCATGAAATGTTTAAAGAAAAACTTGTCAAACTTCATCAATGCTGTGACTGAGAAAACCAGAGAACCTATTTTTATTAAAAAGCCGGAATTTAATGCAGCACTGTAAAGCCATTTCACAAAATAAATAGCAGCTCTGTGTGCTTAGATACTATTTTTAGCTTAAGCAGGAATTGAATGTAAAGTGTTCTAATAAATTGAGCTGAAATTGGTTACAGGCAGTGGCTTTGACTTAGATTCACACCAATATGTGAATATCTTCAGGAGGCTTGTTTGAGATTTGTATCAGCAGAAAGCAGGAGCAGAGCTAGAAGGATTAGTATTAAGCAGAGTTGCATAGCGGTATCTCAGATTAAAATGATTGTGTTCTGTCAGAGTCTGGAAAAGAGCATAAAACCTGCAAATTGTAGGAAGAGTTTGTTGATTTGCCTATCTTACGAAATCCAAAATATAACTTGCTCTCCTAGAATTTGTGAATTGTTTGATGAATGGGTAGAACAAACAGCATTTTCCATTTTGTTTAGTCTTGCAACTGTGTAACAAGGTTGTGCATATGTTAGGGGTTACCTGTATATTTTTCCCCCACTGCTCAGTGGAGACTTTCTTTTGGATCACCAGGATTCTTCAGGTAGAGGAAGGTAGATTAAAAGTTACTATTTCATATTTCAAGTTTTTCTCTTGAGAGTAGTAAAGATTCTTTCTCATTTATTTTATTTCACTGAGATAATGAAAGACAGTCTTCTCCAACTTGCATGCTAAATAGGAGTTAAATCCTGGTGGGAAGGCTGCTGCAGTTCTGCTGTGAAGGAAAGTGCAGCATCCTGCTGGAGCCACTGACTGGTGTGAATGAGGGTTTATAAGGTCAGGATATTTATTTAATTTAGTGCTAGAAGAAATACTCTACTAGACAAATGAAAAGAATTGAGTGTTCAGTAGGGCAGCCTTGAAATTGATCCTTGTTACTCTTTAGTGAGCTTTTACAATAATATTTCTTGCAGCTCAAGTGGCTTCACTGGCTTTCTTTTGTTGGCTGATTCAGTTAAAAGCTTCAGTAAAGCACATTGTTATGCTATGGTGTTGCAAGTGAGAAGTTATTGATTATGTTAAAGTTTCCCTCCTCTAAAACAGTTGTAAATTTGACATTGTAGATGCCTTTTTTTTTTTTCCTGTAAGGGTGTATATAAACAGTCACACTTTATACTGATCTGTGTGCTATGAATTTCTTAAAACAGACTGCATCTGCCGCTATTCAGACATGTTCTGCAGCCGTGTCCTCGCTTGCGATGTCTGTCACAGGTGACTTTGAACACCAAAGTTACTAGGGACTGAAAACTGCAAATATGCCCAGGGAGCAGATTTCAAACCTCTGCACTCAGCTTGGTTACAGGCGGTGTGTTTTAACTTTCTTGATATTTGTGTCTCTCTGCTGTTAGTCGATGCTCCGAGGCCGAGGAGGCTGCTACAAACACACGTTTTATGGAATTGAGAGCCACCGCTGCATGGAGGCCACGCCGAGCCTGGCTTGCGCAAACAAATGCGTCTTTTGCTGGAGGTAAAATACTGATGCGGTTTTACTGTGGTGTCGGGGTTCTGTTCCACTCTGTCCTAGCGGGCAGTGTTGCTCATGTGCCCTTTTCACTTGGAAACTGGGGAGGAAGCGTTTGGATGGGAGCAGTCTTGCTCCCCCTTGCTTGCCTGTGCTCCTCCCCTTCTGAGAGCTGTGGAGCCTGTGGGTCAGGGAGGGTAGGAGGTGAGCTGGGTGGGTGGGCTCCACATCTCGGAGGCTGAAGAGGATCTGAGGGCTCCCCAGTGCCACCTTCCCTAGAACTGTGTCCTGTGCAGCCAGGTCTTTGGCTCCAGCAAAGGGACCAGTGGAAGGAGGAATTGGGGAGGCAGGAGACAGACACCTCTTCATCTACCACCTTGCAGTTCCCACCGCCCTGGGAACTCTTGTCTGTGCCCAGCACCTGGCAGAGGTTTAGTTCCCTCTGGAGATCATTGTCTGGGACCCCGTGTGGCTCCTGGTGCTCTGGAGAACATGGGCTGGCTCAAGTTGTGCAAAGCCATCAAGGTGCTAAGTGGTGTGAGTAGCTTTGTTTTGAAATTGGATCATTTTTCTTATTTAAAGTACCTTCACCCCCACCAATTCAATTGTCCTCAGTGAGTGAAAAGTGATGACTTAGTAATTGCTGCCTTCCTAAAACAGTAGCTAACAAATGACTTTCCATTTTAGTCGGTAAAGTGACCCCTTTTCTCAAAGGAATTACTTTGTTGTTAATTCTCTAAAGGAAATGAGCTTTGCCTGGATCTGAACTGTGAGCTGCTCCAGCGCTGCTTACGAACTGAAATGCCTGGGTTTGAGGGAGGTTTTTGCTAGGCTGGGGGAGTGCAGGATGGGATTGGTGAGAGAGACTAGAGGCTCAGCAGAAATAAAATCAGTGCTGTGAAAGCATACTGAGTGGGAGGACGTGGAGGTTATTCTTCGATCTCTTTTGTCTTCTACCTTGCTAGCTAATTCAAATCATGGGGGCTGCACTTCCTTTGGTATTTATGCCTGCCCCAGGGGGCTGGCTGCCAATAACACCTATTCCATCCCTAAGCCTGGCTGTCCAACATCCCAATATTTCCAGGCAAAACCAGCCACATTCGTCTGAGTAACACTTTCTGTCTTTCGTAGTCTTCAAGTTTTAATAATGCAAATATTTCAAGAGAATATTTAAATGACAGTGTCAGCACACAAGGACTGCTATAATTTTGAAGGCACTTTGAAGCTGTCTTCCATGCTAGTGTTAAGTATGTTAGACACTGGCTATCCTGTTCAGTTTGCGTTTGGGAGTCTATTCCAAAGTGTTAGTTGGTGCTCTTGATGTCTTGATGGGCTTTCATCATATCCTGGCTAGAAAGAACACAGCAAATGGCATGTTTGCAAGTTTTGCTGCTTTTCTTCAGAGCAATCTAATGACTGGCAAGAAGAATGTACTGCTTGTCTTTCCCCCCCCAGTGTCAGCTAGCAATGGTGCATTGAATTCTGCGGTGGTGACTGTACTGGTAGGAAGAAGATTGCCATGCTTGTTGTTGTACCTCTGTCCCTGCACAGAAGGCACATCATAAACAGCAAATAGAAAGTAATAACATCTTCAGAATGAGACATTTTGTTCCTAGTATTGCACTGTAGATCATTTAACACTGTTCCCCTTCAAAATGACCCAACCTGGTATTTCTTAGCAGGAGCAGCCTGTGCCTGGAGTATGGGACTGAATGAGGGAAGTCAAACAAGTGTAAACTGGAAAGTGCGATAATCAGGATAAATCGCCATGTGTGATGCGTTCCGTGTGCCTCTAACTCATCGTCCTGTAACTGTCATTTATCACTTTTAAGAGGAATCGTGGAAGCAGTAGCCCTGATGATAATGAATGCTAGAAAGCTTATTTCACTAACGGTAACAAGCTGAATGCAAGGAAACAGCTTTCCAGCGGACTGTGCAGAAAAATGCTCTCATTTATTTACCTTCTGTGGGTGAAATGGGTTGCAGCGTTTTGACTCTTCCATACGGACTGCAGCTGTCTGTCTTCTCTTTTCAGACCTCTGTTGAGGTAGAACACTTAAGGATGAGTTTGAGTTTTATCCCGAGGCTCACTTTATGTACACCTTAAGCTTGACATACAACAGAACTGCTGTGGGAAGAAGCATTCTTCACTTTGTTTGGGCTGCTGCAGCCTTTGTGTGGCTGTGAGCTGTGCTGGTCAGGCTGATTTGGTGTAGGAAGAAGGGACTTCTATACCCGCTCTCCCTCCTGATTGCATGTCAGCACAGTTCACAAACCCTGCAGCCAGGGCTATCTATACACTTTTTATTTTAAACCCACCACACCTTGCAGGTTCTTAATCGTGTGAGACTAAATGTAGAGTTGCAGGCACCGGTGGCTGGGTAGGACAAACATGTTACCTTCTTAATAGCAGTTACCATCTGTGCTGTTGGAGACATATGAAGCAATAGTTTTGATCTACTGTTGGCCAAATGTTTTTAATACAGGTTTTATGCCTTGCTGGTTTCGTCGTGCAGCTCTGCACACTCACTTGCAGATAAGATCACTGTGATTCCTTTTTTCTTGATCTCTTTTTTTTTCAGGATTTTGACATTTGTAGAGTCTGCCAATGTTTCCAACTGCATAACTACCACAGCGCTCTCAGGATCGCTGAGGAAAAGGCCATGTAGCCTGTTTGTTTTCTCTTTCCCACTTTGGCAAGAAATGCTATAGTTCAGCTGCTTTCCCTGGGAATTGGATGTCATTGTAGTTGGCTGGTCGTGATGGACACATTTTGGCCTCAAACCAGGAATCATGGGTGCAGCCAGCATCCAAATACTCAGAAAATTAGGCGTTTTTCTAAAAGATATAGCTGGACTCTGCATTGGAGACCTTCCTTCTCCTTCATGCCCTGGAAACGGTTCATCCCTGATGAATATCAGACTTGCCAGTGCCCCCTTACTGGTGTGACCAGTTTGTGCTTCCCTGCCTCTCCCCTTCAGAGAGCTGGCTGAAAGTTTGGTGATGCAGGTTTATAATGTGGCTGCTTCTTTGGAGGGCAGGAAAAGCAGAATGTTTGTAGGATGATCCTCCCGCAAGGCAGCAATCGTGCTGTGTTGAACTCCTGAGGCTGTTGCATCCCAGCATGGGGTGGGGGGGAGAACTCCACACCTTAATTACTGCAATGTCCCTAAGTCATAACTCTCACTACAAAAATAATCTGTCACTATCCATTATTGCACTCAGCTGGTCTTGCTGTGTTTGTAGTGTCTCTTTAGCTTAATTGTCTAAATGGAAATGTGCAAGTGACCAAATCTTTTAATCAATTAGAGCAAGTGCGGGGACTGAGGCTTTCTGACACTGTATTGCAGCACAATCACCAGGCAAACCTGATTTGATTATGTTTTCTGGCTGAGTCTCTAAAGCCCAATCAATTATTGTGGAGAGATGGAACAGCTAAATCAGATTTAAATTAATAGAGTTTATTATTTTTGCATCTGAGGAGCAGGCGAACCAGACAGAGTGAAATACGCTGTAAAGAAATTGGTTCATATTTCTTCTTCTGTAACTTTATGATTATACCTGTACTTGAGGGTTTCGGCTTTAGCTTGTATAGTAGGCCACAGCTGCAGTTCTGTTCAGGCAATCTAAATAAGTGTGTGGCCAAAAGCTGGTGATCACAGTAAGTCCTGCAAAGTGAAGAGATGAAAAATAGCAATCTCTAATAAGAGAGGTACTTAATAAGGTCATTAAAAAAAAATTAAGAAGAAACTGAAAACATAGATTAAAACAAAAGTTGCTTTTCCAAGTAACTTGACTCCAGAGGCTACATTCTTCAGGGAAATGTGAAATATTATGATATCAAAGGAGTTGACATTGCAGGTTTGTAAAACTCTGAACCTGAGCCTGAAGGTTCAGCGTCTCCTTGCGTGTCCAGCCACCAGTCCCTGTTCCGCTAAGTTAATCCTCTCTTCTCCCACTGTCTCAATTTAGCTATTTTTTTGGTTTATAGAATTAATATATTGTGATCCAAGGATCATTGTTTCCTTCAGATTTGATTCTTCACTGGTTTGTTGACCTTTGGGCCTCTCTGTCTTCCAGGAGCTCTTGAAATGACCATATAAATGGGATGGTGGACAGGGCATCATAGAATATACCTAGTTTATGCCTCTGACAATAGTAAAAAAAAAATTAAAAAAAATGAAAAAATCGGTGCCTTTATGTGCTGCTCTGCCAGCACTGTAATAATCTGAGGCATTTCTAGGTGGGAGGAAATGTTCATGTGGTCCATCAGGTGAGATGGGAGCAGACCCTGGTGACTGTCTCAGCTGGATGCCTGTGTGCCAGCTCGCAGGAGTGTTGGCACTTTGCGAAGGCGTTGGCAGTGCTGCTGGTGCCTGATGCTTGGGCAGGGTGGGCTCATCAGTTGCTCAGTGCTGCGCAAAGGGTGTGCTGCAGAGGGTGGCTCTTGGTAGGAGTTAGACACTGTTTTGCCAAATCAGGCACAGAAATGTGGGGGTGAGGTCACTGTAAATGCACGTAGTCCCCAGAGTAGCATCTACCATGTGAGGATTCCCAGTGGGCAGTATTGTCATTCCTGTTATGCAAAAGGGTTGTGATAGGAAGAAAAAGTAACTTGCCAGCAACTTGCTGGGATTGAAGTCTATGCTCTTTATCTTAAAGCAGTGCATGCTTTCCTGGTCTTGGACTTGTTGAAGGCTTTTGTAGTTGTCATTGTTAGTTTACATATTTATGGCATCAGTAGTGAATATAAGCAGATTATTGGCTATGAAATGATCACGTGTGTCTTGATAGTTACTGCACGTGGTCGGTGACTTGCTACCCAGTTACAGTAATCAGTAACGTGATGGAGTGATTATGGGCTTTGAAAGCAAACCTGTACATCTTGACATTCAGGTTAGTTTTGAACTAGTCTTTGAGACAGTGTCTTTTGGATAGATCTGGTGTCCTACTGAACCACTGGTAACTAATCTTTGATTCAAGTTTTCTGCCCTGATTTGTCCTCTCTTACAAAATAGTGCTGCTTACAGAGCATTTCTTTTGGGCAGGTTATGAGACTGTTAGGTAAAATGGTGTCAAAAGCTCAACCACTTCTGCTTTCCCTTTGCCGACAAAGACTAGTGGTGGTTTGGCATGAAACATTCTCAGCAGGTTCAGGTTGGCTGTTACCTGTCTCAATGCTCTGTTCTGAGGCTCACAAACACTTACTTAATCCAGTATGTCCTGAGGAACTGGAAGTTAAGATGGGCTGGTATAGAAATCTTTGACTCCTGCTAAACTGAGCATTGCATTTGTACTTCTCTGGTGTGTTTTAAATCACTTTTACATGCTCCTCACAAACTTTCAGCTTATTGCTAGTGACTGATACTGTCGGCCAATTCATCCTACATGCTCTAGGGTGAGTTTAACGATGCTAGTGGAAACATTTCATTTAGATTAGATATCTAACCTGTCCTCTTCCTAGTCCAATCTGGGCTCTTCCCATTGCTGTAATGAGAAAGCAGAAGAAAAGGTGCAAACCAGGTTTCTTATCACGGAGAAACATTAAACATTGTTTGCTTATACATTGGACAGTTTTTTTTTTTTTCTTGAGTCTTCCTCTTCCTCCTCACATCATTATAGGGAAAGTCATTCTTGTTAGTCTATTTATATGTCCTTTGCTAGTTGTATCTGATAATTATTATTTTTTGCCCTGACCTTTCTGATTATGACCTTGTGTTCTTGTGCTCTTTCTTTTATTTTCAGCTGGAGGTTGCAGAAGAGCCTGTGATTCTGCCAGGCTGGTTTCTTGTTACTTTTTGTATCTTTGCTTTTTATTGACACGGTTTACACTTCTGCCTTAATAGGGTTTAAAAAACTGTCAGTTCTCCTGAACTCCTTTGCCCTTAAACCTTTTTCCTCTGGGATCTCACCTGCTGGTTCTCAGTGTTCACTGAAGTCTGCTTCTTGAACTCTCTTGGTTTTTATTCTTCTCTTTCACTCCTGTCCCGCCCTGGGAACCATGTTCTCTGTCCTTTCATGATCACTGCCACCAGCGTTTCCTCACCTTCATGTTCCCCACCGGGTATCAACATCAATCAATTGATCGCTGGAGTAAATGGTACTTTGTACCTGTTCTGCATTTTTCCCGCAAAGTTTCTTGAAAGACTTCATAATACTAAGCATTGTTCACAGAAGAGAGGGACCGTTTTAAGAGGGTGTAAATGAAAAGCTGATTTATTAAAATAATACACAAGTGATCAGGGAGAGGGATGCACTGTCACACAGAAGCATACACCTTCTTCACAAAGGTGTGATTGACTGCCAGGGACGCTTTGATAATGCTGACAAATAATACTGGTAGATCAAAGGTCTGATGAGAATGCAAATAACGCTGGATTAGAGGCGGTCTTGTGAGCCAGGGGAGAGGGGGAGCAAGTTGGGAGCTCCCCATCGTGTTTTCTGCAGTCTTGCATCACGCTGTGGTGGTGGGGTGCTGTGACAGTGATGGCTTGTCTCTGAAGTGTCAAATCAAACCTGTTTCACACCTGGAGTCCCTAATAAAACAAGGGTTTTCTGGTGTGTGTGGTTTTGGTTGAGATTTTTTTTTTTCTGCTTGTGCTATTTTGGGAAGGGAAGGAATACTATGCACAATTACCTGCTCAAGAGTTGAGTAGCTGGTGAGGCGGATGATGCAGAGGGTCTCAGAGCCTGTAGGGGAATGGGAAGGTGACAGTGACATTCTGTCTGTGCCAGGGACTGTGGAGGGGGGAAAAAAAACCCTCAAGCTCTTCAGCCACAAGGCATTGCTTTTTTTTTCCCCCTATTAGAAAAGAAACTGCTTTTTGCCAAATAAGCTGCTTTGTAGACATGACCTGGTACGTTTATTAAACAGTTAGAATGTGTTAAAAATTCAAGGACTGTTAGACACTAATAATTAATAGCTGTCCAGGGTGCATCAAGAGTGTATTGATTTTCTGCCAACTTGCCCTATTAAATATACAAGGTACAAGTTATGTAGTTAAACATGTAAGAGTTTTATAAATGTCTTTTATAGTTGGCATTCAGAAAACTTTCCATGTTGGCAGGGAAAAAAAAAAAAGGAAATTCAAAAAGCAAAGCTGTTTTAGCTTAATGTGTCTTTGAGATGGTAAAGCAGTTAGAGAGGAGCATTTGAATCTTTGCTCTTGAAGTGGATGAAGAAATACCTGAAGGGCTGTTTTTATTGATACCAGGTCTAGAATTTATGTGGCTTAGCACTGTCAAAGTATGGAGCTGCAGCTTTTTCTCACCTCTAGAAGTCAGTGGGAGTCTTTTGATTGTCTTCAGTAAGCACTGGACCAGCAACTTCATTCTGAGAAAGTGCTTCCCTCTGTCTTTTCTCCCTTAGTTAAATTCTGGGTGTCATGTCCTAGTGCCTGAGTAGCTGGAAGGCTGAATACAGCAGGTAACCTCACAGTTGTCTCTGTGGCTGGCTTCCAGAGGTGGTGGAGAGTGGTAGAGGAGGCAGAGATCAGCTGGTCAGAAAACAGTTTCAGGAGTATATATTGCTTGATCTTGTTCTCTTGTCCAGAACTACATTAATCCAATAGTACTATTTTGAAAGACACTACAAAATATACCACTCTTCTGTTAATAAATTATTCTATGAGGAGCAGTAGAATTGGTAGGGGAAAAGTGGAAGACCTAGCATATTTTGGAAAAAAGCAGGAGAAGATGGAAAGAGAACAAGGAGATGAAAACACAAATTAATTTATTTTCTTAGGATGATACTTAGGCTGAATTATCCCTGTTTGATACCAGTCTAAGTGCAGCAAGGTTAGTGGGAAATTCCTCTCACCAGGGAGAGGTGTGTGCCCTTGTACAGGTGCTCTCTGGATTGTGTTTGTCCGGGTGTGAGCATGATGGGTACCACCAGTTGCTCATAATATTTCACTTGCTGGTCAGGGTGCATTTTTTCAGATGACTTACAATGTCTTTGTAACATCCTCTCATGCTAATGAAATAGGGAATGAGGAGAAACTCCATATACCTTCCAGGTGCTTGGGTGGATGTGTGTGGGTAGGCTTTTTCCATTTTTTAAAGAAAACCAAATACGGGTACAGTGGTACTTTCTGGGTAGGCAGTTGGCTTCCTAACCCAAGCTGTCCCTCAGATGGAAGATTGGTGGTTTTTATCCTGCAATCTGCTTGTCTCGGAGAAATTAACATTTTATTTTTATTTTTTGCGTTTGGATTTCAGTAACACAGTAACTAGCAGATATCAGAAGTGGTGAGAACCCCCTGCTGAATAAATCTGGGAGGTTAACCACATCCACCAGCAGTGCATCTCTGGCATACTGCAGGCTTCCTAGTCTCTTCATATAGTTTGAAGTAGCCTGCTGTCATCTGTCTTGTTACTAGAGCGTTACACACAGATTGGGTAAGAAACAAATCCTGTCCTTCTCAAGGTGGCAGTTGGTACATTTGCAGTGGAGCTAAAAATGGCTTAGGACCTTCCTTTTCTAGTGCTTTGTGTAGCTGTGGTCAGAAGAGGATATAGAACCAGTTTTCCTTTCTTTACAGAGCTCCTTCTAGCTGCAGAGCATCACTTTAGCTTAGAAATTTTTTACCTGTGATTCAAAATAGGTATGTTAAGTTTAATAAACTGTGAGATTCATTCTTCCTTCTGGAGAGACCAGAGCCTGGAAGGAGAGGAGTATGAGAATGGTGTTCAAAGATGACATTTGAAAGTTGTGTCAGAAGCAGGATATTGCTGAGAATTTCTTGTTGCTTTTTATGTTACTGAACAATGCCAAAGTCCCCAGGGTGACAGATGGGTTCTTCCATGTGTGTTACAAACAACAGTGAATACTGTCTCTTTATCCTTCAGACATCATACAAATCCAGTGGGCACAGAGTGGCGATGGAAGATGGACCAACCTGAAATGATCTTGCAGGAGGCTATTGAGAACCATCAGAATATGGTCAAGCAGTTCAAAGGTAACTTCTCCCACTTCTCCGTTAATGATGCTTTTGCAAGATAACCAGCAGTAGCATCTTCAAAGCATAGATGAAAACGTTCTGGTCATCTGTGAAATGCTGGGAAGGATGCACAAGGTTTATAATACCAGAAAGACGGGTGAGAAGAAACTTTTGTGGCACGCATTGTTTTCTGAGATCTTCTGCCTTGTTTTTGACATTAGAACAACAGTCAGCAATTGGGTACCTACTGCTGCCTTGAGGGAATAGAGTGGAGTTGCCTCTTGTGCGCCTTGGTAGTTGTCGTAACCTATTCCTTGGTGTGCACAGAGGCTTCCTCAGGAGTTAAAGCTGGCCCAGATGATGAGGAATCTTGGTTCTTATGTAAAAGTGAGGGCAGGTAGAAGGCAAAAGGAATCAACCTCTAACCTGACAGGAAATATACTACCTAGCCTTAATACCGTGGGATCTTTTTGTGTTAGCTTTGAAACTTCCAGATTGCAATTTTTCTCATTAATGAGTGAGCAGTAGCATTCAGAGTAGTGTTATTTTCAGGAATTATTCCATATGTCAGTCTGTGACTGAAGGTGCAGTTGCACAGCACCTCTGAAAAGTACTGCATTTTGCTTCCCAAAGGAACTCCTTGTGAGTTTGTTGTTTATTCATTATGTATTTATATCTATAGTTGGCTGGGGTTTTTTCTTTTTTTCTTTTTTTCTTTTTTTTTTTTACCCCCAAATGCAATAAACTTGGTTACTCTGCCAAGGTCAGCTTAGTGTGCTGGGAGGGCTGGCCAGCTTGGCAGGACAGGTCCAGGACTCTGCCTTTCCTAACTGACAGCGGAGGCTGTGTGAGCAGCAGGAGTGGAATGAAGCATCCATAAAATGTGCAAGATGAGCCTTAGTCTTGGCTGTCATTTTGGGAACCCGTTTGTTTATGTTGGCTGGGCACAGAGAGAACCCAATGGATTAAAAATGTGACAGGCAAAAAAACCCCTTCTGTCAGCAGAGCAGAGTTGTTCTGTCTCATTCACTGGAGTTATGTAATAGGCAGAAAAATAAGTTAGAGCCTCATGAGCTCCATTTTCATCAAGTGGCTGGTTTGAATCATCTTGTGCTCTCAGACCAGCAGCTCCAGGGAAGCCAGTTCTTTAGGAGCTACTGTGCTGAACTGGATATAGAGAGCGACCAGAATAACCAGACCTGGCTGCGCTCTGCCTGTTGCACACATGCAGTCTGGTGGAGTGGATCACAGCTCTGGAGCTCATCCAGGGGAAAGCTGTGAAGGTGCTGTAGTGAGATAGAGAAAAATGATGCTAATTTGGTAAGGGGACCTTTCCTTGGGGAAGAGGGAGCGAGCTGAGCCGAGTCAGTGAACGAGGTAGTTGGTGTTAGAGTGCCTCTTCCTTCAACCTAAGGAAAACACAGCTGCAGTGCTGGAGGCAGGGCAGTCCGTAAGGAAGCGCAGGTCTGATTCCCTGGCCTCAGTGTTCGTTTTGCACTGCAGCCATGTGGGCAGTGTGGGGAGAGTGCTGAGTTAAGGCAGGATTCCTGCAGCAGTACTGCCTGACTGGCTGGGCCAGAGCTACTGCAGGGTTTCCTGGCTGCCTGCTAACAGCACAGCAGGAGTTTGGGTACAGGTAGATTACATGAGTGAAGAGCAGGATGTCAAATTTTGTCTAGAAGGCTACAACAATCACAGAAGACCATTACAGCTATAAAAAAAAAGAGTATTTATGTTTAACACTTAAGGCATTGAGCACTTTTCAAACTCTACTCTTTTATTCAGTCTATTCTGGATAGCCAGGCTCTTAGATGAGTTGAAATATGGCTGGCATGCTGAAAGGATTGTGATCAGTAGCTTGAGGTCAGTTTGACTGATAACAAGCCAGGGTACTTCAGGGATTGATCCAGGAACCTATGTTGTGCAACATCTTTACCAACAGATGATGGGGATGATGATACCGAATATATCCTCAGCAACTTTTGCAGGCAATACTAATTTAGGGAGGGTGGCAGGCACACTCAATGGCACAGTGTGGGACCTTGATTTACTGATTTACTTCAGTGGGACCTTCAGAAACATGATTATTGGGCTAATAGATGCATGCGGAGTTCAGCAAAAAGTGGAAGATTCTGTATGACAGTGTTATAACCCCGTGCTGGTCCATGCTACCATACCTGCCATGGTAGCACAGGGGACAGCAGACTTGGGTTTCTGTTTGGGAGGTTCAAGTTAGACATGAAAATAAGCTTGTTCAGCCAAGGTGGGGCCCAGAGAGGTGGGAGACCCTTCAACCTTGGAGGCTTTTAAATGTTTTAAGTAAAGCCATTACCATCATGGTCCAGTGTTGACAATTGTCGTCTCTGAGCAGGAGGCTGGACTAGAGACCTGCGGGAGTCCCTCCTAACCAGTAGTTCTGGGACTTTTGTTATGATTGTTAACATTAAGTCTTAAACAATAACAACCCCCTTCCTTTTTATGAGGCAGGACTTGACTCAAAATAGTCATTTATACTTGCTTAGGAAGAAGCCACACGCTATTCAGAGTGATGACTAGATTTGCATATGGTTGCTGGCGGAGTATTGAGGGTACACCTGTGAAGGCAGGAGTTGCCCCCGAGCTCTGCAGTACTGGTGTGGTGCGATGGAAGTGTTGCCCGTGTGTATTGTTTGCACTAAAGAAAGGTGAAAAGCAGAAGTTATTTTGCAGACGCCTGAAAGCTGTACCTTCTTCTGAAAGCTGAGTGCAGGAATCTGCTTAAACCAGTCTTCAGACTAAGGAATAACCCTCTCCTTCACTTACTACACCCTAGTGTCTTCCCAAAAAGGGCTGGGGAGAGGGAGAAATTATGAGTGGACTTGGCAGCATCTGAAAATATTCCCAAAGTGTCAAGAGGACTGTAAGGACATCCCAATTCTCTCTTTTTGGAGCTTATTTTCCATTAAACAAATTCTGTAAATATGACCTGAAACTTGCATTTGCATCCTTAGGACAGTTACCCTTGTCTTGGAACTGTGAAAGGAGAAAGATGGGGGGTGGGGAAGGGGGTGGTGCTCTGGACTAAAACTGTGCTGCAAAGTGGAAAAAGAAAAGATGTGTTACTTTTTCAGAGTGATAGATGGCAACGTAACATGCTTCCTGTCTTGGGAGCCTAAAAGCAAAAGGTTTATTAAGGAGAAGAAAAATCAGTAAGAAAAACCCAGTAGCTTGCTGTTACGTTTTGTGAATTTTACATTGTCGCTTCCCTGAGGTGTCTGAAAATATTGTTAGGGTAGAATTGGTGAAAGCAAAATTGCATTGAAACGCTGCGCGGTAAGCTGAAGCCAGGGCGAGTTCAAAGATGCTCAGTGTCTTGCAGGACAAACGTCCCCTGCATGCTGTGCCAGAGCTGTCCTCTGTCCAGGTTGGAAGTGCCTCAGGCAGAAAACATGACTGTCTGCTTCCAGCAAACTTAGTAGCGCTCCACAAATAGTAGGCTGAATTTTATTATGATTGATTTTAAAATGAAAAAAAACCCACCAAAAACCTACAAACCATCCCAAAGGTTGAGCAGTGAGACGGACTAAATTGCTTTGTCAAAGGAGGTGGACAGGTTGCAGCTGGGTTCTGCAGTGCTGGCTGGGCAGCCACAAGGACTCCAGAGGAGTTTCCAGCAGGGTGCTGTACCCATCTGCTGAGGTGCTTGAACACTGACCCCCAACGTAGAGCAGACCGGACTATTTGGGCTGCTGGAGAAGAAAAATGTGGAGAAAATGTCTTAGCTAGAGAGTCCTCAAGGCTCTTGAGTGTCTGGTAATGCTGCTCAGATAATACCCAAAGCTAGTTGAATAAATTGGTACTCTTTCTAATACCAGTACTGCAGCTTTGTGTTCAGATACACACATACAGACGTCTCTGTGCCGAAGGAAATCTGAGTCTCTATTAATTCCATGCGTTGTAGTAAAAGTGAGAGCTGCTTGGGAGGAACAGAAGAATTCTTGGGGACCCTCTATCCTTATAGGATTATCCTAGAGGATAGCCGTCTATTCTGTAAGAGTCCCTATGCATGCTATTAGAGATGATGATGATATGTCATCTTCTCTTTTATTGTTGCCATAGTTTGTACTGTTGTTGAAGACCATAGACATTAGTTAATGTCACATAATTCTCTTTAGAATAAGTGATGGAGACACATCTTACTGATAGGGGGCTAAGGTGGGAAGGTGTGAAGTAGTTTATTTGATGGATACATTTTCTAGGTAGTGACTAGTAAATCTCTGTGCCCTTGTGAAGGGCACACACAGAATGGAACATAATTCAAAAATAGGAGAGTGTGAATCTCTGATAATACAGCACTAGTTTAACTTGGGGGAAAAACAAACAAAAAAAAACCCCACAAAAATTCATGACCTGAACTAGGAAATCTTAAGACTGTGTGTCTTGCTGTAAGAGTGGATAAAAGAGGTTCCTTATCTCCCTGGTAACCCACACATTTGTGATGACTGGTGTACAGGTACTTGCAGAGGGGTACCAGAAGTCAGCAACCAGCCTCTCTAGGGTGATGTGCCGAATGATGCACTTCTTTCCCAAATTAAAGTGCACCAGTAGGAGAACAGCTGGAATCAGCTTTTCAAAGGAGGTGTACTGATCAAAGGAGGCTTGGCTGCACGCTCTGCTGAGATCTGAGCTCGGCAGGAGCTGAAAGCTGTACGCTACTGCCTCTTGCAGGGGCTTCTCCAGTTTCTAGGACTCCAAGCTCCTGCACCTGGGTTGGACCTGCTGCATGCTGTACGAAATCTGCCCAGGCTCTGACTTTGCTGGAGTTCATTGACCAAAGACAGAAGGAGGCTCATCTACAGCAGCAGAGGTTGAGTGCTGTAGCAGTATGGCAGCCTAAAGTGCAGGAGAGTTCATGTGCTCCCCGGAATATCCACTAATCCTGCTTAGTTTATCCCCGTCTAACTTGTGATTTATATGGTCGAATGATTGCATACAAAACCTCTACCCTTCTCTGGAGTGTATTTACTATATACCAGACTTGCTGTAAACTGTTTTGAGAAAGTTACTCTTGAACTTTACACGATGTTGGAAATTTTTTCTGTCTGCTTATAAAGCTGGCACAGTAATTATTGTAGTCCAATTGCAAGATGTTGAGAAATTAATTAATTCAAAAAATTACTTACAGTAGCTTTAGGAATACGAAAGTTAGTCCTTTAATCTCTGTGTGTGGTTGATGCTTCTTTCTTTTCAAATAAAGTTCTCATTTTAGTACTGTCAAGTTTCTGTGGAATAACCATTAGTCCTGTCACTTATTCAGGGCTGAGCCTGGATGGTTTAAAATGCGCTAAGCTTTGCTCTGATCACAAACCAGCTTTTCTACGTGAGGCTGAAGCAATATCCATCCACAAACACCTCTTTTTATCTTGGCTTTGCAGCATAGCATGTAATTTTCTGTACTGCTTGAGCTCCAGCATCTAGGCAACGAGAGGTGAGCTAAGGACCTGGTTTCAAACTCAAGCCTTTGTTTTTTTTAAAACAGACCAAGCCCCAATCCAAAACCTCAGATATTATTCGAGTACATCAAGGCACATCAAGGAAATGTGAAGTGACATATTTGGAACAAAAGCTCGTTTGTAGTCAGATGATTTCATATGGGGTCCTGAGCACTTGGTTGGATAGGGATGGGCTGGAGGAGCATTTGCCTCTCCTCTGCCCTCCTGTGGGTATAATGAATGTGTCTCAGGTTGGTTAAACCTGCAGGTAGCATTTTCACATGGATGCTACAGTTGAGCTCCTTGTGTTTTTGTTCTGAAATGCCTCTCATTGTTCAGGACAGTGTCATGTGTTGGGTTTGCTTTCTGAATGCATCTTCTGTGGCGTGGCATTTCATGTGGTTGCCAATATGGATTCAGACCTGGTGGTTGGTGCTTTGCTTGGCGAAATGTGCCCAGCTCCTGTGGGGAGCTGGTCTTCATGGGGCTTGGGGTCAGCGGCAGAGACAGGCAGAATCTGGTTTTCTCTTTTTAAGACACCGACTTGAAGTGGCATTAAACTGGCTCTTGTGTTTCTGTCTCAGCATTCAGGCAGCATCATTGAGGTCTTAGCAATGGAAAACTGGCCTCAAATATTAGTAGAAAATTGCTTCAGTAGTTAACAGGGCACGCAAAGCCCCAAGCTCCGCGTGTCTGGGCGTGCACTGTTCTGTGGATTCCTGCAGAGCTGGCTTGGTGGGCACTGGCCATGGCCTGGTGTCCCCTCTGGTTCAGGAGGGTTTCAGCTGGGTTTGCTCAGTCTTCCTTGTGCCAGGGTGTATTTTAGATACAGATGCATGGTTTGGGAGGGGATTTAGTTGATTTGAGCCTGTTTTCCCTCTTTTTGCAGGTGTGTCAGGAGTAAAAGCAGATCGCTTTGAGGAAGCAATGACAGCAAAACACTGCGCGCTGTCACTGGTGGGAGAGCCCATCATGTACCCGGAGATCAACCAGTTTGTGAAGCTCCTGCATCATCACAGCATCTCTAGTTTCCTGGTTACAAATGCACAGTTCCCAGATGAGATTAGGTAAGTTGGACAAAATATCTCCCTACTAAAACATTTGAGTGCTGACCTGTGTTTTAATTCCATTTTATTGCTCATCAGAGTTAGCTCTGCATGAGCACTGACAATGAAAAAGCCCACTTGGTGTCTATTTGATTTTTAACCTTAATCTCCCTGGGCTCTTTCTCATCTCTTGTCTTTCTTCCAGTTTGATTTTTCTTTTCTATGTCTCTTAAAGTGTGATAACTTCTGAAAGTGAAGAGAATGTAATATAGTACCTCCTGGAGGTGTGAGGGGAGAACAGTGATTGAGCTGTGTTTTGTGCTTGGGGACATGGATAACTGGTGTGAGTGTTTCTGATAGCTAGAGCAGGAGACTGAACTCATAAATTGCCTTTTTCGGTTTTGCTGCTTCTCTTGAGTCTGATCTTTGTTCTGACTCCGTAAGATCAACCGTAATGGCTCAAACCAAAGACCTGTGCATCCCAGCATCTCCAGCAGGAACCAGAGTGTGGGATAAGAGAAGGTGAAAAGCACATACTGATCTGCAAATGTGGGATCAGTAGTTTTTAACCTCCCCCTCAGAGGGACTTGAGCTAAATGTTCAAAACATTTTAATGAACTCTGAAAGAGTCTTTCCAAACGCAAAGAATCCCTGTTTCTGATGTTCTTGAGGATCTAGGCTGCTTTTAACAAAATCCGAAGCACCCTAGCAAGGAAATGCAGTGTGTGGTGCGAGCTGCAAGACGGTTGGGAACTCATCAGGATACCGTCAGCTAACAACACTGGCAAAGTCCAACCCTGGAGTTACGTGAGCGCGTTAGCGGAGCTGTACACGGGGTGGTTTTGCTGTGTCGCTCAGCTTGTCATTTCAGCTCGATGCATCTCCATGTTAGTGCTTTCTGGTAGAGCTTCCTTTTCACTTCCTCCTCGTGCTCTGAATATGGCAGTGAGGGGGGAGGGCATGCAATTTTTGAGTGAGTAATTATACACTACAAAGGCATTCCAAATGATTGAATAATTGTGTAATCAAGTTACTTTAAGTCATGTATTATGTGCCTGATAGACAGAAATTGCTCTTTCCTAAAAATAGCATGTCAAAAAGGGAGCACAGACTATATTTTGAAGCTGCTGTTCTTAAGATCTGCTGGATGTTTTTAAAAAGAAACAAAGAAGAAAGTGATAAAATGCTAGTCTTGCTGTCTTGAAAATTGCAACTGATCTTTGGCTCATCAAAGCAAATGATTTGCTTAATATGGGAACTGAAGTATGCACCAAGCTCACTTTTCTGTTGTGAGCAGAGGGGAGCTGTAGTCTAAAAGTTTGTCCTAAAATAGGCAGCATGACCTCTGGCATCCATGGTGCAAATGGGGAGTGTGGCCTGGGGTGTTCGCTGGGTTTGAAGGGGGCCCACTGGCTCTGCAGACCCCCTGGCTGGGTCTGTAGCATGGTGCTCCCTATGCCTTCCTCTCTCCTCTCCTCCTCTTGTATTTGGACTGCAGCTTCATCTGCCTCCAGGCACACACATGTTTTCATAAAGTGAAGGAGGTTTTATAGCATGTGAGCTCGTGTTGAGCAGTTACCTGGCTCTTGTCCTCTTCCTCCTCTTGTTTCTGATTAGTGACTGTGAACAAAACCCCTTGTGTATGTGTTTGCATTTATAAGCATCAATAATAATAATGAGCAGATACTTATTATTGCTCATAAGCAAATGCTTATTTTTGTTATATGGATGTTTCTGTTCTTTGTATCATTGACTAGGCTGTGTCCTGTCTGACTTGGTGAAAGCACCTCACGGCTGGTGGCCTGGAGTCAACTTATTGCTCTTGAATTGTGCTATGCTACTTGGTCATGGGTTCTGCTCAAGTTCATATGTGGTAAATGCCACGAATTTGATCTCCTGGGTGCAGTCTCAGCTGTCAAAGCTAGCTTGGAAATTACAACCAAAAGTTAAGGAGGAATGTTGGAAAATCCATCCTAGTGCCATGCAACTGATTTTTTCCTGTTAATTATGAAATGTAGCTGTGTTCTGGGAATATCAATTTGCTCTGCTTCTCCCTGGTGCTGGCTGGACCCATGACTGCCCTTTCTCTTTGGCAGAGCATGCAGGAGGTCATCCTGGCTCCAGTCCCAGCCATGACAGAGCCCTGTGGACTGCTCTGCTTTGGAGCGATGTGGGACAGAAATGCCTCACTGGGATCCCTTATAATTCCTTAATTTCCTCCAGTATAACAGTGACTCTTGCTTTTGCTTGTCCTTAGGACTGAAATTCTGAGGGAAGACTTGATTTTTTTTTTTTTCCTCAGATTATATTTTGAGAAACACTTGCTCTGTCTTCAGCAGGGCCTCTTTTAATTAGGCGAGTGCAGCATTATGTAAAGAAAAGAGTATTTTGGCTATGTTCTTTGAAACAGAATACTTCAATCCACTTATGCCTAGAACATTTGGTCATTTTTGGAGATTGTGGCTTTGGGCTGCCTGTCCAGACAAGTTTGTTTGCAAGACAGGGGTGGCTTTTAACCAAAAATGTCAAGTTTGTTCTGGGCTATTTCATTTTTCTGTCTAAATACATACAGAGAGAATACATTTAGGTAGGTTGTTTGAGTGTCCACGTTAAGTGGGGGTTTTCTGGACACTAAGAGCTCTGCTCAGTCTTATTCTAGACAGTTCTTGTCACTTTGTCACCTTTAGGGAGGGCAGGGGGTTTGGTGTGTCTTTAGGTGGCAGCGTTTGGCAGCTGAACAATAGTTTCTAATTTCTTCTGATCTATAAAGAACCAAATCAACCTGGGACTATAGCCTGCTCATTAACAGACTTCACGAAGAAACACTTGCAAAATATTGTCCTAAAACTGTTAAGAGCTAAAGGGTTACCTACTGCAATTAGGATGTCATTTCATCTCAGAGACCCTCGGGGTGGAAGATGCTGTGAGGGGTGGATGTGTGTTAGCTCACTGGCTTTATGGTCTTGTCAGTGACAAGGGAGCTCGTTTTAGGTTGTTCCTCTTAATGCCCTTCGTTATCCCTTTCCTAATGGACTGCAGGGTCGCTGCTTCTCCTTTATACCCTTGGGGTTTATGGAAAGGATTAGACTCAACTCGGGCTCTTCACGCAGCAGAGGAGGTTTAATCTTTTTAGAAGTTACCGGTGTTGGGCTCTCAGATGCTGTGCTCACCGGCATTATGTGACCAGAAAGACTGTACTGCAGGATTTATATGAAATAAGAGCCTTGGAAGTGGAAAAACACGTTTGGGGATTGTGCTTGGTTTTATTTTCTAAACAGCTTTGATTTCCTTTCAAAAAATTGTTTGACTGATGATGCCAGCTGCAGGTCAGGTAAGTTCAATGTGTCCAGAATTAGAAACTGGCTGAATTATGGCTGAATGAGATTATTTTTCCGTGGGCCGGGGCAAAGTGAACTTGGGAAAGGGGCTGAGCTCTCTGTTTTTTAACCATGGGGGCTGTGGTGAGAAGCAGAGCCTTTCAGAGCGTCACGTGAACCCCTGGCAGCCTGCTTTGGGAAGCCTTTCTGAATGTGTTACAGCTACACTGGAGTGAAATATGTTCCAGTTCAGTGAGGAAAAGATAATTAAAATGTCAGCAAGGCCTCTGTGTGTGACATTCTTAGTAGTGGGTTGTATTATTTGTTGACAGTAGGTTGTAAAGTCTTGCTATTAAGATGATGGTTACTTGGCAAAGATGAACCACTGGACTTTGATAGTTTTCCCTGTAAATACTGATGGTTCCTGTCAGTACTGGACCAGGAAGGCAGCTTGTTCAGAGATACTGTATCTTATGTGTGCTTTGGTAGGAAAACACAAATTCAATTATCAGTAATGTCTGAAACCAGCAATTCCCTTCTTTTTATTTCCAAGGAACCTTGAGCCAGTAACGCAGCTGTATGTCAGTGTGGATGCCAGCACCAAAGAGAGCCTGAAGAGAATCGATCGACCCCTCTTCAAGGATTTCTGGCAGAGGTTTCTAGACAGTTTAAAGGCCTTGTCTGAAAAGGTACCCAGTTAAGAATGTGTTTTTAAATATTTTTTCTTCCTTCTGCGCCTTACCTACTCAGGATAAAAGTAGAAGACTTGAGAGGCTTAAGATGGACCATGGAGTGGGTTCTGGATGTGTTGGGAGCATATTTACTTATTTTGTACATTAAGGTGTATGAGGTCCAGCAAGTTTGATCACTTCCCATGGGGAAGAAATTTAACGACAAAAGGAGAGCAGGATGTGTGTCATATAGGACAGTAAACTCTGCAGTGAATATAGGATGCTAGAAGAGATCAAGAGATTATAAAATAACAGAAGATTTCCTAATGAAGTGTTTACACTGAAAGCAGGCTGCTGAAGGAAAATTAGAAATTCAGGGAAGCCTAGGAAGAGTCATAAATCCCCATGTGGTACTTAGCACTGGTTCTCAAAGGTTCCCTTGAAATTGCAGTATATAAAGTACATTAAAAACTGTGTGCTGGAGTTTACTAGCTCTAGTCACCCTGCTTCATAGAAATCTGCTTATTTCTGGAAGATTTGCCCAAACCAGTAGATCTAAGGATAATAGCAAGGGCGACCCTTTACGCTGTCAGTGGTTTGTAGTAGTTTGTGTTGGTCTGAGCGCGCTGAACAGTGACCTGAAGGCCCATGGGATCGTGTCTGCTGCTGTCAGCTCAGAACTTAGTCTACCGTGTAACAGTTTTTGTAGTAATTAATGAAGCAGTTGTAGTCCCAACATCACATGAATGAATAAGAATGGTGTTTCGTGAGCGTGTCTTCCCTCTCTTATTTACTTACACTGTGCTCTGATGGAAGCAAATACTTCTGTTTACCAATTTGGCAGAAGTTGACGTGTTACCTGCTGAGATGAACAGACAGGAGACTGTTTAATTTGAATAATGAGTATTTCTGCCTTCTGAGATGTGATGTTGGACCATTTTCTGCCAAATGTACTTACATTAGTAGATCTGGGGGACTCAGTAATTGAGTGACACTTTCTTCTGCAAAGGTATGTGAGTAGCTTAATCAAACTGTTTGTGTGCAATGGTGCTGGCTGATCTTGTTCAGCAAAATCTCAGGCCAAACTCTGAGCTTACTGAGATCAGGTACAAGCCTAAGTCCTCTGTGTGTAGATGAGGCTGTGGAAAGAAGGGGAGCTAAAGTATTGAAGGCAAAAACTTTGAAAAAGTCTTTTGGGAACTTGCTTTTGCCCATCATTTCTTTCCTTCTGCCTCTCGTGACCCTGGATAGGTATGGTTTGTTCATTGCTGTGTGTTGTCAAAAATTTCCTTGCAAAGAATTGAAGGTGAAAATATTGGCAAGTCTGTCCATACAGCTAAAAATACACTGGTCAAGGTGAAGAGGAGAGGAAAAAGAAGCTCAACTAGCAGGTGCATTTTCTCCTCATAGCAACTGCACTTTGAAGGGTCCTTGAAACCCTTTTTAATTAATAGTTGCTCTAGTTGTAATACACTGTTCTGCCAGCCCCTGCTCAGCTGCATATTGCGTCATCACACGTGGGGGACAGCAAGAGGTCTTGGGGAAGCTGCTGTTTGTTAGGTTTTTCTCTTAATGTTATACATGGTTCTGGAACCCAAAAATCATCTTGAACTGCTTCTGGGCAGAAGCACCTTTCAGTTTTCCTTCTGAGCGCGTTGCTTAGTGTTAATGTGTGATGTTAAGCACCCTTCCATAGGACTGTGATGAATGAAAGGTGGTGAAAGCTAGTGGATCTGCTGATTCTTGAGAAATACAGCTCCTCTTTCAGAATAGGTGGGGAAGTGCTGATGCGTTGTGTTGGGAAAGTGATGCTAATATATCTGGAAACAAAATACAAGTCCCTTATTTTCACACTGCCTGACAAACCATCCAAGCTTATTCAATTCTCCTGGGACTGAGACACGCTGGCATTGCAGCTGATATGAGTCACTGATAATAAGAATCATGGATAGGTTTGGTTATGCACATTTGAAAAATAACGAAGGGTGAAGGGAGTTTTTCAAAACACAAGTTGTACCTTGCTGTGCTGGCCGTTGTGTTGTCTGGCACGTGCTGTTCCTGCGCAGTTGCCCTGCTCACTTGTGTGTCTGCTGGTTGTTCCTGGGGCTCTGCTTGGTGCTGCAGGGGTGAGTAGTTAGAGACAGGTCCTGCTGCAAAATGTTAATAATCCAAACAGATGAGCGGGAGAAAGTAAGAGGAGAGAATGCAGTCCTAGATGAGGAAGGAGTGAGGATGTCCTTCTTGACTGTTCTCTCTCCTGCCACCAAAAAACAGGCTGAATTTTTTTTTTTTTAAATAGAAATGGAAGGCCCTGGGCAAAGAGATGGGTTTCAAATCTGTTGCCTTACTGAGAGTTGTACTGATACTAGAGTGCATGATTTTAACTGAAGTTCTGCACAAAGTTCTTGAGCTCTTAAAGGAGTGAATTTAATAATGAGTTGTTCCCAGTATGATTTGACAGCATCACACAGCATGTTGGTGATTAGTTGCTACAGCATGTTCAAAGGAAGTTCAGGAATAAAAGATAAAAATCTTTTGTGACACCTCTTTCTGCAGCAAACAGCAAGAAACCCCCTCTTTGTCCACTGCTATTTGGAGCAGGTTTTATCCTTTCTAGAGTGATTCTCATTAAGATCTTCATGTTAAATTTTCTATGCTGAGAAATGTTTTTTGAGAGAGGAGTTTGTTAAACAGCAGGTAGACTCCCGGAAGGCTCCATTTGTTTCTTGTCATGTGTCTTCTGCCCTCCAAATTAAATTGAGAGGAAAAAGAAAGATGTTAACATGTGCAATTTAGAATGTGCCCTTTCCAAATGTCACGTTTGAGAAGTCTCGTAGTCTTGTCCTCTGACAGCCTTGAGTTCATAAGAATGATTGAGAGGTGACTTGACTTGATAGACAGGTGCTTGGAGGAAGCACTAAGGATGTGAATCCTTATTCTCATCGTAAGGATGAGAAATCTGCGTTCCAGTGTTTGAAAGGCAATTCTTCCCCAAATGAGAGATGAGGTACAAATTAATAATGAGGGTCCAGAAGTTCAGGAGGGAAGAGGTAGATTTTCCATCCCTTGAAGTTTCATGATCAAGTTGATGCTTTCTTCAAAAATACTGTTAAAATGTGCTGTCTGAGCAAGAAAAGGAACCGATGTTCTGTGAGCTCTTATCCACCTGCAGTCGGGCTTGTGATCCATTTGTGTTTTGACTTTGTGCTCTGTTTCCCTCAGTGTTATTAGACCAGATTCTGTAGGTTGAGAAACTTTGAGAACTGTTGTTCTTGTTGTCATAAATCACCAAGTGTTTTCTCAAGTGATAGGGACGTTGACTGAGACAGCTGGAAATCCACCACTGAGTTGCTGATAAATGAAGTGGGGATGTAGTGACCCAGTATGGCACAAGTGCTTACAGATTTCTACCCAAGCACTTTGAAAATAACTGAAGAAAAGATGGTGATGGACATACCAGCAGACCATGCCCTATTTGAGGTTCAGCATTACGTTGCAACATCTCTGAGCACACTTTTTTCCACCTGTTGAGAGAGTAAGACAACCCTTGAAGCAAGTGACTGCTGGTCCATGGACGTTCGTGGGCTTGATGAGCACTGGGAGAAAGGTCCCTGGTGTCGCTCGTGCTCCAAGGACCACTCTTCCAAGCTTGATGTGGTGTCACCTCTTCTGTCTGTATCTTCTTGACTTAATCATGATAAATCCTGTCCAATCTGCTCGATACGCTGTACCTTATAGTACTTGCTGTGCTGCCAGACACCAAGTAGGCATTGCTGAACTGCTGTAACTTTTAGGGGACAGGTGCCAATGTTCTCTTAAACAGATTGGAGCCACACACAAAGCAAACGGGGGGAAAAAAACCCTTTAGGTTAATAGATGTTATGGCACTGCCGGAACTGATGATGAAGCAGAACCTTATCCTTCCTGTCCTTCCAGGAGGGTCAAAAAAGCAAAAGAAACAACTTTTTTCCCTGGAGTTTAAACTTGTGTCTTTAGACATCATACACAACTCTTGCTTTAGATCTCAGGTAAGACCTTGCCCTCAATCTTTTTCTACTTCAAAGGGAATTAAGATTTCACAGATAAACAAGGTCATGGCTCTGTGGGTGAGGTGTAGCAAATGTCTGGGTGTTTTTTTTCTTTTTTTTTTTCTTCCCCCTTACTGCCGCTCTCCCCCCGCCTTGATTAAAAAGGGAACAAAAAGGGAAATTCTTGGCTCTGCTTGTCCTGGGATATCACATATTTGACGGTGCACGGATTTAGTGCCTTGCTAGGAAGTGCTAGAGATGGTTTGTCCAGAGAAAGGCATGAATTATAAAAATGTTCTCCTAGTACCATCTTCTAGGTCTGCATTTGCACACTGCTTACAGGTAGTTCCTTTTACATTTCTGGATGATAAAGATGCCAGCTTGCATATTTAAACGTCGTCAGGCTTGCATCTGGTGTTGTTTACTTTAGCTTTTTTTTCCCCCAATGTGATCCTTTCTTCAGAGTTATCCTTGGCTTCTATGCAATTACAAACGTAGTATAAATACATTCAGTTACGTCTTAAGCATGTTTTAGTGCTTATTATATAATATGACAGTAACAATTGGTTGTATGAAAAGAGCACATTTGATTTGCATGGAGATTTATGTGGTTGCTGGGGGAGGGGAGCTGGTTTGTAGAGCCTGGTCTGCTGTTTCTGAGCTAAGTGACTTTTAAAGGAGAATTTAAATGTAAAAGTTGCAACAGATGTTAGAATCAGTAATCAATTTTGCCACTATAAATTTAGAAGAATTTGACTCTTCTGCACAGTAAATGCTCTCCACCAGCTGTGTGCTTGTTTTAATGGTTTTGCTAATGAGACTTCTGGTGTAAGCCTTTTGAAATGCAATATGATGAGTGTTGGAAAGGTACAATGTTTAATATTAAGTTATTGTCTCTGAAATACATCATCTCCTTTCAGTTTAGCTTACAGCAAGCAGCAATCCAAATGAGGCTTCAGTGAGATTCTTGGCTGCAGAAGGAGTGAAATC